GCCTGGCCTACAGAAAAGAACATTTATGTTTAATCTATCTAATAGTGTGTTGGTCATACTATACAATGATTTATAGCTTGTCTTTGTTGAATAATACAGAACATAAAGAGCTTTAAAAATAATAATTGCATATTAAATCGCAATATTGGTAAAAAAAATAAAAATCGCAATTAGATTATTTTCCAAAATCATTCAGCCCTAATTGACACTGGTCGTTACTGGCTTTTGCAGTTAAAAAAGGGTAACTAGTGTTTGTCTGAGAGGGCAAGGTTATATCAGGTCTGGGAACAAGTCTATGATTTTCATTAGAAATCCAAGCTAGGAGTTTCTGGAAAATGCCAACATAAGTTTTCCATTACTTTAACTCAATTAAATGACTTGTCCAGCCAATTTTATTATACTTACAAATTTTTGTGCAGTTCTGAAAATCCTTTACCTAATTTGGTGTTCCTGATTGAAAATGACAGATCAATGAGACCCATGACCAATCAGTTCCAAAAAGAAATACAAAACTATGCTAATTTAAAGAAACAAGTTGATATAAATAATAAATCCAATATTTGGTAATAATACAACAAGAAATGTAAGCAATTATTTGTAGGTCGGTAATTTTTGACCAGGAACGCAACAAGTGTGTGGGGGGGGGGGATCCCCAAAAAAGTAGTAAAATTATCAAATTTTTGCTGGGATATAGTTATACCCTGCGTGAACAAACAAAGTCAGTAGGTTTTAATCCAATGTGAAAACATTAACTAGCATTTTAACTAGAGCCCGACCAATATATCGTTTTGCCGATATTATTGGCCGATATGAGCCTGTTGCCGATATATCATATCGGTAAATATGCCGCCGATATTAACATTTTTTTATAGAACATATAACGCAGATAAAATGCTTGAAATCGTGTAATTACTTTGGTGTTCCTGATTGAAAATGACAGATCAATGAGACCCATGACCAATCAGTTCCAAAAAGAAATACAAAACTATGCTAATTTAAAGAAACAAGTTGATATAAATAATAAATCCAATATTTGGTAATAATACAACAAGAAATGTAAGCAATTATTTGTAGGTCGGTAATTTTTGACCAGGAACGCAACAAGTGTAGGGTGGGGGGGGGGATCCCCAAAAAAGTAGTAAAATTATCAAATTTTTGCTGGGATATAGTTATACCCTGCGTGAACAAACAAAGTCAGTAGGTTTTAATCCAATGTGAAAACATTAACTAGCATTTTAACTAGAGCCCGACCGATATATCGTTTTGCCGATATTATTGGCCGGTATGAGCCTGTTGCCGATATATCAAATTTTTTTATAGAACATATAACTGCTGGGATATAGTTATACCCTGCGTGAACAAACAAAGTCAGTAGGTTTTAATCCAATGTGAAAACATTAAGTAGCATTTTAACTAGAGCCCGACCAATATATCGTTTTGCCGATATTATTGGCCGATATGAGCCTGTTGCCGATATATCATATCGGTAAATATGCCGCCGATATTAACATTTTTTTATAGAACATATAACGCAGATAAAATGCTTGAAATCGTGTAATTACTTAGTTTGTGTACTTTACTCCATTGTTTGCTACTGGCGACCTGGATGAAACGCTAACATTAACTAGCATTTTAACTAGAGCCCGACCAATATATCGTTTTGCCGATATTATTGGCCGATATGAGCCTGTTGCCGATATATCATATCGGTAAATATTTGCCGATATATCAAATTTTTTTATAGAACATATAACGCAGATAAAATGCTTGAAATCGTGTAATTACTTAGTTTGTCCAGCAGAGCGCGCTCCATTGTTTGCTACTGGCGACCTGGATGAAACGCTTTAAAGCTTAACTCTATGGAAAACCATTGAAACTTTGAATGGCAATCTCCGTAACGGCACGGCGAATCCGCACCAAATTAGGGGGATCCCTTCAGCTCGAGGAACCCTCTCGAACGCGAATCGAGTGTACGTCTAGAGGCCCGCTTTCGAATGAGACCACCCCCGCGTCGGTGGTTAATTTCGCGTTCGAGAGGGCTCCTCGAGCTGAAGGGATCCCCCGAATTTGGTGGAGATCCACCGGCGCGTTCACGAGATAGTGACACCAGTCAACACTTTCGCTTCAGTAAGGAGGTCTCTTGTTCAGGCAGCAGCATTCAAGCGTTGTCTTATTCGACCGCAAGTGCCCTGCGAAGTGGACTTCACATGAAATTCCGCCATGATTCCAGTTCCAAGGGAACATACATGTTACATTCAAAGGGCATTAAAGTGCGCGAGACGTGAATTTATATTGTATTTCTTTACAGAGGTATATTATGTCACATTTCACACTCAAGTTTCGTCTGTGTGTGAAGACAGTAGCGCAAATCCGTGAATGACTGTTCCGAAGTGAAATTAACTTCAAAGGAATAAAGTTGAATGGAATTGAATTGAATTAAAGTTGAATAAACTTCAACTTTACTGTTCAGTGCACAAAAATTACTCATTTTTGATAAAGTTTATTGTTAAATTGTTAAATGCCCTGCCTCCATTACGTATCTTTGTCACGTCATTATAAGTGTTTGATCACCACATTTGAGTGATCATTGCAAAAGATTTGTTTATGTATATACTGTATTCTATATATAGTACCAGTCAAATGTTTGGACCCTCGAATGGGAAAGTGTCCAAACTTTTGACTGGTACTGTACTATAATATACACAAAGGATATTGGCCTTTTTTTACTCCCTAATATCGGTATCAGCCCAGAAAAACCCATATCGGTCGGGCTCTAATTTTAAGTAAAATAAGATCCTCTGATGGTCAAATGACAGGAGGGCTAAGATTTGATGTTGAATAAGGTGGACATTATTTACAGTGTAAATGACTCCATCATATTTAGTTTTTAAAAAAATCACCGGTTTGCTGGTCCAGAGCCAGGGCTGCTCCTTACCGCAAGTAAAGAGGATTAGCTGGATAATACTATTAACACAGATTATTTACACCCTCAACAGTAAAAGATGAAGATCTACACTAATGTCCTGCAATAAACATTATGCACAGAGGTCCTGTCTGAATTACAATGCTTCTGGCCTACAATCCAACTAACACAATATTGTCAACCCTTCACTGAAATCCTATCTCCAACCAGGCCACTCTATATGGAATACATAGCGATATTATTTCAGAAAAGCATCCATCGATTTTCTCCGTGCAACTATTTCATATCAATATATCATCAGCTTTCACATAACCCAGGCTCTCACTCGCACCCACATACCAAAAAGGCAAACTCTAGCACTCCTGTCGACCAATCCACCCCCTCGAAAGTGTGTCCACTCATCCAGAAATTTCTCCATCTCCATTTCTCAACGGTAAAATGAACACAGAGTTCCAGAAAATCTCACCAGTTCACAGCCTCACCAAATCTAAGACTCACAATCATCTCATCTTATATGAAACCACTATTTATAACACAATACATCAATCATCTCCACAATAAACTTTGAACATAAATGTTCTTATTCACATTTATAGTGTTTCAGCATTGAATCATGGTCATATAACTGAGAAATACTAGCATAGCTTCTTCAGAAATACAGAAATAGATCGACACGTGCTGCAAAACCTATAGAAACTGTATGATAAGAATAAGGATTCTGTAATATCCTGCAATTCTAGAAGTGATGTGACTGTAACAGCAAGGGGCTCGATTTGCATTTAGATAACCTGTGACTGAAAAAGCTCATCTAATCTGAACTCTCACCCCGACCGTTAATATGAGAGTCAAGAGGTCAGGTCTGTAGTAAAAATTGGGAGTCAGAGTCAATGTATCCAACATAATGAAGTTTATGAAGCTAAAAGCCCATTTTATTGGAGACGAGCGACTGATGCTGACAAATTGAAGAGCTGCTCATCATGAAACAGTCACATCTGAATTAAGATCTGCTGTGAAAATCACATCTGACTGGCATGACAATATTAATACAAATCTTTGATGTGCATACACATATACTCATAATTGAGCAGTCGTTCTGGAAGCTCATGGTTATGCATGATTTCTGCTCTTCAAATAATCTAACTAAACATTGCCTGTAATCCAAGACTATTTCAAAGCAAATCAGACAACATAAAGACCATTTACATGAAACCAATTCCAAATACTAGTGTCCCAGCTCATTTTAACTGTGCCAGTTTATCATTAAACTGCAGCATGCATTGCACTTTAGGATTTTTAGTGCATATTTAGTGATCAGAATCTTTTTGGTGGTTCACGGCCATCAAGTGGCCCCTTAATCATTCAAAATGTAGATAAATTATAACCAGTCCTCACATTGCACTCATTTGTGATGGCTGTCATACGTTGCCTTGTCTGCATGCACCATCAGCTTTTATCTTCAAAACCATTAATATGGTATCCAATAGGTCGGTTAAACTTGAGATCCAGAGTCAATGTCTTTGACATAATTGATTGAAAAACTCACTTTACCCAAATGAACGACTGATGCACAAATAGTGGGGTGAGAGGAACCTCGGAAAGCATTTTCCAGAAGAGCTTCTAATGAAGCAATCAAATCTGCATTAAGATCCACTGTGAAAATTACATCTGACTGGCATGTCAATATTAATGCAAAGAGCCACAAATCTTAAGATTTAATTTACAATGATGCGTTTTGGAAGCTCGTGGTTATGTAAAATCTCGGCGCTTCATTCCCAAACAATCCAACTAAAGAGCGTGTAAACATCAGCTGTATTATTTATGTATTTCAAAGCAAATCAAACCTATTTTGTGAAACTGGTGACTCAAGTGAACAACAAATGCCACATTCAAATATTGCAATGTTAGTGATCACAAGTCATGTCGGAGGTCCCCGGCTATAAGTAGCCCCTAATTATTATGATTAGGGATATACACTCATTTATGTCGCCTAGTTTTCACGCACCATCTGCTTCTGCCTTACACTGACAGACAATACAATGTTTCATTGTGGGGTCTTTTAATCTGGCCTTGCGCTTACCTTCAATAGAGATCACATGCTCGCGGATCTGGTTCTGGAGGGCCAGGTCATCGATGCGCTCGATCAGGTCGTATATTGCATAAATGTTCGGGTGGACGGACTCGAACCGATGGATCTCGGCTCTGATGGCTGCGGAGTTGGACAAAACAAACTGGGAGCCCGACGCGCCGGACTGCGCTGCAGGGCCCGATACGGTTCCCGAGCCAAACTGACCCGCCCCGGAGCTCCCAGACGATCCGGATCCGAACTGAGGCGGAATCTGCTGAGGAACTGGCACCGGTGCGGGTACCGTGCCCGGGGTGGGCATGGCGGGCTGGGACTGCTGAGAGATACCGGACACTGACACCGAGACCGGGACGCTCGACTGGTAATTCATCGCTGTGGATCTGGGAACCGCTCACGGGAATAATAGAAACGCCGCGTTTGGAATGATTTGGAGAGCGCGCCAGGAATCCGTACTGCACACTCTAATCTGATTAAGAATGAGAAGAGCAACTATATATGACGCATCAATGGGTTTCCAACAATCCGCGCGCCTTGCTCATAATACCAAAACTTCAATCAGCATCATTGTTCCCAGCGACGAGCTCGCTCTTTTGCGCGTGTCCTGTCCTTTTTTGACAATGAATGTCTTTCAGATGGACACACCTTTGTTTTGGGCGATCTTCTGGACCGAATCTCCCTCGGTTTTGCTTCCCAGCCTGAAGCGAACACAATGAGGCCGGTTATCGCAATGCGCCCGAGTCCATTGACTGACTGAATGCGACGGTTCTACTCTAAACTCATAAACACGTTTGAATCCTCTTTTGGTCCAAGAAGTCCCTCCCCGGCCCCCACCTCCATCCACTTAGATGTGGAAAGTCCGAATCTTTTAGCGAGTCGGTTCATTTAGTGAACCTGTTCGAAGAGTCGAATGACCGATTATTTTTAGTTATCGCTCAAAAGTGTCCCACGCTGCATTTTACATTCAATTTGTACAATACAATGGCTGATAATACACCTTAAGGTGCTGTCACTTTAGCGATACTTCGCACTCAAAGATGTCCATTGTCTTTTCTGAGGAGCCTATGAAGCACAGCTCACACAGAAGTCGCTTTCAAACCAAGCAGATTTCTATTTTCCAGTGTGAACATGAGAAAAATCTGCGTGGATTTCGCGAATGCGCAAATTCATTGAAATGACTGGATTTCACCTCGGTGAACGTGACTGCACATTTAGTCAATGTAAACGGTGATATTTAATTTGATTCTAATGAAAATTAAGGTCTGGGGATAGATGTACGGTCCATTTAAGCACATATTATTTTTTAGAAATGAAAACAAGCCTGTTTAATCGTTTGTAGCCTACTGTTGTTTCTATGTCTATATATCAGACTCCCACTGTTGTTTTGATTCTCACAGCTTTCATTTCAAATGTTTTGTTCATTTTAGCAACATCATTAGCTATATTGTTCCCTATATTATTAGTAAGTTAGCTTTACTTATGAAATATAGTATAGCGTATATTAATGTTCCTATCTCCCAGTGCTATTTAAGTCCTGTACAGTGATTTACAAAAGCTTTGTGAGTCGTTTAAACCAAATCATTACAAAGAGTCGGTTCAGAAAAACGATTCGGACATCACTACCAGCCTCTGCGACGTCACACATCACGTAACTCTGCTTGAAATGGGGGGAGTGAAATTCGATTGGATGTTTAGGTGGTGTTGTGTTGGTATTGATGCTTCACTATTATGTAACCAGATATTTTTCTTGACAGTTTAATGCTTATAATTGTTCAGTCCTTCACAGATACACACAACAAGTAGAATCAGTGACTGCTGTTTCTGATCGAGGGTTACAGCCTTAGCAACATTAAAAGACCATAATTTACAGTAGCTATAATAGACATTACATCACAGGCTTGACAGAGTTATTGTTGGGTTTAATTCTCTAGCATTTATTCTGACAAATCTAATCCTTGCTTTGAAGTAGGCTACAGTGATGTTACCTTGCTATCAGATAAATACCATGGTAGGCTATTGAATGTTTACTATTCATTTATCATGGTATTTTCATTGTATATTAATGATAGAATCCAGGTGCGTCTCGATAAATTAGAATGTTGTGGAAAAGTTCATTTATTTCAGTAATTCAACTCAAATTGTTGGTGTGCTTGACTGGCCAGCAAACTCACCAGACCTGAACCCTTATGAAGTATTCTAATTTGTTGAGATAGTGAATTTTTGTTAAGTGGTTTTAGATAGTGGTTTTTGTTAAATGTGAGCCAAAATCATCACAATTAAATGAACCAAAGACTTAAACTACTTCAGTCTGTGTGCATTGAATTTATTTAATATACGAGTTTCACAATTTGAGTTGAATTACTGAAATAAATGAACTTTTCCACGACATTCTAATTTATTGAGATGCACTATGGTTCTGCCATACTATGTGTTCAAATAACATAGTTTAGTATGTCCAAAAAGCATGATGCCATATTTTTAATAGGAGAATCCTAAGGATAAAATTATTTTTAACCTGCATTTGTGGTGTTAAAACTTTCACAGCGTTAAACAACCATTGGATAGTTAAATAACCAAGATGTTGCAGTTTAACCACCTAATACTGTCAGTATCGATTATTTCTTCCTGGGCTTTGGGTAGATCGCTTCACACACTGTTTTGTCCTATTGAGTCACTTGTTAGGTTTCATTTTGTAATGTGATTATAATCGACACAATCTCTGCATCTCAGTTCCACAGGGTTTGTGATGTAATCTGCTTCATGTTGACATTTTCCTTCACTTATTTCATAGCAAGAAAGACATGCTCTGTGACTTATACAGCTGAAATCTGCACACATAACAATATGACAAATTTGCAATATTGATGACAATAAACATTTACCTCAAGATTGATACCTAAACCACAATAAAAAAACTAATCACAATAGTATTTTTAGTAACAATTCACACAGAGAAGGATTAATAGAGAAGTGTTTTTTTTTTTTTTTTTTACATTTTCTCACACTGTTTGTGGTATAAAGTTCTTCAAAATGTATTTATTTATTTATACTTAAGTCAGAGAGTACATAGCAATATAACAGAGAACATAGCAACATAAGATTCATATGTTTATACACATTAGTTTAATACAGACTGATAATTTAGACTGGATAGTTGAACATTAAAATTTAGGATAAAAAAATTATATGATTTTTTTCCCCCCAGAATTTGATTGATTTTTATTATTTTGTGTCTAATCTGCAATATTCACAAACATCTCTGTATGTAAGTTGTCTGAGACGTCTGAATTTGAGAGATTTGCTGTGGGCTTTATTCATATTCCATTTTACCATGAACCCTTACTTTGATCTTTTGAGAAATCTTGCAGAATTAAATTATTCTCACTTGAAACTAGTGAGAATAAAATTCACCGAACTTTATTAATTAAGATAATGGAGATTCAGTGCAGATGAATCTAAGAGGAGACCCACTTTAGATAAAAAACTGCTTATCACTTTCGGCGTTTTAACATCCACTAAAAAATGCTGATATTGCACTGATCATGCAAGACGTTATGTAACACACATGAGATTCAGGCAATAAAGCACTGAACATTTTTCAGCCTTATTTGAACTCAAATATCTGAGTCATTTTTTTTTACATCATCTTTGAGCTTCATAAGCTCCAGAATGAAGCTATTGAAATGAAGCAATTCATCAAAAGACCTAAACTCCCTGCTGACTGTCATTAAAGGGTCACCCAGGAAATAAGTTATAGCCAGTAGCCCTTATTAATAGTTACTTGGTTAATCCAGAGGGAAAGATTATGGTAATTTTCAAACGATTTTGTATTCAAGTGTACCGGTTACGAAATATATTTGGGATTAATCTCATTAGATGCAACTGAGGGAGGGGGCATGAGATTCGTCAAGCTAGAATGGTGCAATCCAGTGGAGACATCTGTCCAGACTCCAGAGATTGATTGGCAAGCTTCACTGGGAGCAAGTGACTCAGTTAAGAGCGATTCGAAGTAGTGTGTCTCCATCTGTTGGTTAAATGTGGAACTGTAAGCCACACCTCTGTCATAAAGAAAAACTACTAAAGATATGCACTTGACCCAGAACGTTATTGATGCTCTCTACTCCCCATAGATACAATTATAATATGTTTTTCTTGAAATAACTGACTCACCACATTCCAAGCATCTTGTCAGATTGTTATTACTTTCGTCTTCAGGTTGTGCTCCCCACATCTTTGTTAGTTTAAGGAAAGAGCTTTGCCTTGTTTGTTGACATTACATGACATGTGACATGTGGCCAAGTATGGTGACCCATACTCAGAATTAGTGCTCTGCATTTAACCCATCCAAAGTGCACACACACACAGCAGTGAACACACACACACCGTGAACACACACCCGGAGCAGTGGGCAGCCATTTATGCTGCGGCGCCCGTGGAGCATTTGGGGGTTCGGTGCCTTGCTCAAGGGCACCTCAGTCGTGGTATTGAAGGTGGAAGAGAGCGCTGTACATTCACTCCCCCCACCTACAATCCCTGCCGGTACGAGACTCGAACCCACAACCTTTGGGTTATGAGTCCGACTCTCTAACCATTAGGCCACGACTTCCCAGACTTACTAGAAAATGTATGAAAAAATATATATGTGTGTGTTCAGTATTATCTTTCATACTTGTATTATTTGTCTGTAAAAAAAAAAAACTTTAGTGAAAACAAATGTAGCATCTTAATGCAACAGTATTGCTTTTGAAATCAGCTCAGCACTCTGTGTCAGTTTATTAGGGTTCACTATATCTATTTTGCAATGAGACATCAACCTCCAAATAACATTTAGATCTTGATAACACAATATAGAAGTTCTGTGCAAATATCAAAACTCCCATATTTGTACCACACACTATAAGGAATTTATGGCTGAATTTTGTCTTGAATTATTTATTTTTCAAAGTTCAATTGTGTAAGACAACTCATCTATCTATCTATCTATCTATCTATCTATCTATCTATCTATCTATCTATCTATCTATCTATCTATCTTGTCTGTCTGTCTGTCTGTTGTCCGTCAGTCTGTCTGTCTGTTGTTCGTCAGTCTGTCTGACTGTCTGTCTGTCTGTCTGTTGTCCGTCAGTCTGTCTGTCTGTTGTTCGTCAGTCTGTCTGACTGTCTGTCTGTCTGTCTGTTGTCCGTCAGTCTGTCTGTCTGTCTGTCTGTTGTCCGTCAGTCTGTCAGTCTGTCTGTTGTCTGTCTGTTGTCCATCTGTCTGTCTGTCTGTCTGTTGTCCGTCAGTCAGTCTGTCTGTCTGTCTGTTGTCCGTCTGTCTGTCTGTCTGTCTGTTGTCCGTCAGTCAGTCTGTCTGTCTGTCTGTTGTCCGTCAGTATGTCTGTCTGTCTGTCTGTCTGTTGTCCGTCTGTCTGTCTGTCTGCCTGTCTGTTGTCCGTCAGTCTGTCTGTCTGTCTGTCTGTCTGTCATATTTGAAAAATGCTTATTTTTTAGTTTTTTTGGTCCATACAATGATATGTACAGTGGGGTTCGGTGTTGTTTTAACAGAATTGTCATTTCCCTTTTCTTTTTTCTTGTTATTATAAATGTACTGAAAAATTTATGAATATAGTTTTCATTTGCATCTGCCATTCATTCATCAATTTGTATATTTGTTACAGTAACTGCTTGTTTTATATCAAACAGTGTCTTGAGGACATACAAGTAGGAATTTCACTGTACAGTCTGTTTGTCTGTGCACCTGACGATGCAGAACTTGACGTGACTTGACTTGAAATAGTTGTGTACTGTAACTGAATTTCAGCCCCTCAGACCTTCAAGGCATTTGTTATATTTCAAGTACTTTGCATACTGTTACACTAAACCGCACTAGCTTATAAAGTCTCTAGTGAAGAAACACGAACAGGTTGTTACATGTGTAACAGTGCAGTACAGATGGCATTTTTATTGAAACAGAAACAGTTG